TGTTCTTGTTCAGCTCAAAGGAGACTTGTTGTTATTGTCGTCACTGTTCCATGCCAAGCCAAGAAGGTTGAACGGGTATTGTACCGGGTCACGCGAATAAGCGACAGATAGGCAGAGCAAGGATCGGGCGGCGAATGCTCAGACAATCAGCACGGTCCCATGGACACGTGAGGTTCAAACTCGCTGCACCTTTTTCTTAGCTGGAAGTTCTTAAAGCGTTCGCTCGTTCGGAATCAATTCTCGCAGACGTTGCAATAGAGCTACCGATCACGATTCGATGGTCTCTCGCGCCCTTCATTAGGGCACCGACAAAGTGGATTTCGGATCCTCGTCCTAGCTGAACATTGGTCTAATAGAATCTGTCGACTCACAATGAATCAGACTCTATGGATCGCGCATCGGATCCCGCTTGGCACCATCGCACCAACTCGATTAGACTGCTCGAATGAATAGAGTCACCGAAGTTCCGCCTGTCCATCATGGCGAGGTAATTTTTGAGATTTCGTCAAATGATTTTGGTCGAACATATAGGTCCATGGGGGTCTCCGGAGCGAGGAATTATTAATCGCCCAAAATCGAGGGAAATATGGAAAATCTGCGGGACCTCGAATATCATTTCAGACGAGGACTTCCCGGTCGCGGGACAAATCGTATTTTTTTCACTCGGGGGACAAGAGGCTCACAAAAAGGCCCATAAGGTATAGTTCTGGTTTGCTGCCATGAGTATTATCCTCGCGAGATTCGCGTGATTACTCATATGAAGTCGTCAGTGCTCTCTCTATGATCTTCCCTATACGAGCGAAACTGTGAGCTTCGGGTATCGTCAGCGATACATCGCTTCCGGGGACCGACCGCCGTAGCGGACTTTGCAGTCTGGGTCTGGATCATAATGAGGTGGTCGGAGCCGAGATCCCGTCCGGGCCAGAGTTTGCGGGCCGCGTTTTGTCACGAAAGCGTATAAGCTAAACATACTGAGCTCAATGATCGCTTCGCAATTAGAATCGCCGTAGAATTCCCTCCGGAAGGGTGCTATTGGCTGTCGATTTGGAATGATAGCCGCCGTAAATAGATCTTCAGATCTTTGATTTCATGTCATCGAGAAGTAATCGTGCTGAGAAATAACGAGTTTAGCATCAACTGAGGTTTGTCATATTACTCGACTGTTTGTCGGCTTTTGCTCCGGCAAAACACCCCTCCCAGTAGGAGAGGCTTCCGAAGACGGATGGGAAAAATGACAGTGTGCAGCATAGCCTTCAGGTGGTGGTTAGGTGAGGCTTGAGGCGCTTGTTGAAAATGCCAGTAATAAGCCCTGGCGAATTCATCGTCACTCCAGAAGCCCGCGCCGCAGGAGGGAATACGCCTTTCTAATCGGTTTTTAGTTCTGACGAGGCGAGCCGTCGAGTACTGTACGAATGGCTCTCGTGGTGTTTCCCGTTTCCAAGCAGCGATGAGATGGATCAATTCTCCCAAGTCTTTAGCACATGATCTGCATTCTCATCTGCTTTAGAGACGGATTTGGGGAATAGGGGGGAAACCCAGTGAATCGGATGATGCCATGTGATTGGCCACTCGTAGACGTGGAGTCGGAAGCAGGATGGCATTTCCAATAGCTAGCTTTCCGAAGAAGGGAATCGTCGCGGATTGTCTTCTTGTCCATTGCAGCCCCTTGCCATACTTCTGGGACCGTGCTTTGTCCCGGTGCAAGTCCTCCTTAATTGCTCCGCGGGATTTCCGTGTTCAGCCAACATTTTTGACTTGGAAAGACGCGGGAATAGAGGGCACGGAGCGCCGCGGTCGTTCCGATTCTGTGTGGAAACCTTGGATTTCTGAAAAATGCTTCTGTTTGATGATCGGAAATAGCATCGCGTCGTTCCCCCGATGTCGAGGCAATGGATCCCAGTTCGAAGAACATCGAAACAAAAGCAAAGGCTTCGGAATCGATGTCGTCGGTTCAACCGACTCGAATTTTCGCTGGTGACAGAGCTATCCCTCTTTTGTCGGATAGCGCGGCATCTGAATCGAATTCACTTGATAGCGGTAAATGAGGACACGATGATAGTGGGAACCAGTCCGGGCAGAACTATAGCTCGCACCCCTTTATAGGTATTCCGATCCCGCGATAGGAACATCTATCCCACTGGAAATCCACATCATTGAGCGAAGCTGGGAAAGACAGGAGATCCTCGCGACGTCGAGTGCCCGAGCGCTGCGCGGGGTGGATCAAAACTTTCGGAGAGGAGTGAAAATCCATCGGTGCACGGCGAACAAGACCATATACGAGCAAGGCGGGGGAGCAATGCTTCATTGGACGCGATATCGCCTCGAGACGAAGATATACAAATCGATTACAGACTACAAAACGGATCTCATTTCCGAAAAGCCCTCTAGCGTAGAACTACGCTTTAGCCCCGGTAGGTGGACAAGATGAGATGCGAATCGTGAAAACAGACTTCGAAATCCTGTAAAACGAAGCATTTTATGAGGAAAACTTCCATGGTCAAATGAGTGGGATTGCATCAGAAGGTCATCCCGAAGTCGGAAATCCTTTCTTCAGGCTGAAATAGGTCATAATATAGGCTCGGGTCCAAAATACTCGAGAACCACGCATCCTAGCACAAATATTACGATGGCAAGAAATGTTCAGCTACGACAGTTTCGACCGGCTAGGCGATAGCGGCTCGATTCCGTCGACTTCTCACGAAAAAGGAGGTTGTCTCTCTCTTCGAAATCTAATCGTGCCTTCATAGACCTAATTTGCTTAATTTGAGCGGAGTGTTCTTTCACACCTCTGTATATTTCTTGTGTCTATTCCTGACGAGGACACTGTAACTTCCGCTTTTCCCGACCCTAGGCCACAAAGCGAGCCGCGAAGGCAAACCGAGAATGATTCGACTAACTCGTGTTCGACTGTCTCATGTTCGAGATGTCTTCTTACCTTATCCGGGGTTGAAACGAGGAAATCGGAGCGATTTCATCCATTGGTTCATTTTCACTGTGGGGGTATGCCCGCACATCTAAGGACCAAACCGCAAGCGAGCGAGCGCTCCGTATATCTCACGATGTTCGAAGTGTCTCTGACTTCACCTGATGGCCTCAACGGGCATAATAGGAGAAGAACCTTAAATAATTAGCCTCTCACCCACGGTTTCCGCGTGAGAATTCGGCGACGAGCTTGCCGCAAGACTCTCGAGTCATCGTCACCACCTCTGACTTTCGTTCCGGACATCAACGCTTTCCCAAGGGTCATCATCGCTCCTCTATGTCTGGGATCCGAGAAGTAATGCGAGCTTGACACGATACCCCCTACTCTGTGTGTGGCATCTCAGGGACGAGCCTTGCTGATTACGACTTTGATTCTTTTTGTATTTTCGACGGAGAAAGCGTCAGAGAGTACCGTCCGACAGGGAGGCGTAGATCGAGACTGATGACGACGCGGCGGACGCGGAAGAATACTCGCGAGTGGCAATTTTGCACCAGCGAGACCTCGCCTGGGCTTAGCATTACTTTCCATGGAGCCTCACCGTCGGGTTTCAGCTCATATCTGATTCTTTTTATCTATTTAAGAGGACGGCACGGGGGCATCCCTTCGGCTCGCTCCATGTTTCATTGCGTCAATATGCAAATGCACATGATATCTCGTACGGGTAACAGGAATGAGAACATCGACCCAAGTAGCACCGAGCCGTAGCTCTGAAGGATAGTACTCCGAAACTGGATTTTGGCGAGGATTCGGTCCGCGGATCATTCACACGTTCTCGAGATCAGGGGGATCTCTCCGGTTCGTGTAGGGGAAGGGGGAAGAGGGCTCGCAGATCCGGACTCACCGACAAAGAATCGATTCGGAGGCGGTCGGTCCTTTGTTATTAGTCATGTCAGATGTCGCCTCAGAGTATATCATAGACTCCCTGATCGGAGTAGAAAGTGACCTTCAGATCGAATCAACCATGGAAGAGGCCATAGCTCGGCAAGAACGGAGACTGGGATTTCGCCGGGAATTCAGAATTCCCGGCTTCCCAGAATTCTCTGATATCAACTCAGGAGCATTGTTCTCGGCACAAGGACTTCGTGGAAATTAGCTAGTCAAATCGAGGCTCGGAGAGCGGGTTCTCCCACCCCTATCCTTTCGAGCGAGCCCTACATCCGCCCAATTGAAGCTCGATATCTCGAAGCTTCGCTGAAAAATAGCTCATACTATTTATCGATTCGATTATCACGAATGTCTGATGGGTATCGTCACGAACTCAAACTCGAATGTAACCTTACGCGAGCCGCAGAATCATCGTCAAAATACTCGAGGAGCATCATATGCCGCTTCGCCATTGCACCGAATGACATTCGGTGACATGACAGAAAAAGCTCAGACTGTTCGAGCTGGAGGGGTGGTTTTCCGGTGAGAGCATGAACTTGATGTTTCTGATTTTTCTGATTTGACCATAATTTATTTTCTTCGCTTGTGAATTCAGGAGAGACAGCAAAACCCAAGGATGGAACGAAGACCAACATAAGATATCCCATTCTCTGGCGGGGCGTGAATCCATGGAGAGAACTCGACCTCATGACTGCAGAAAATTCATGTACAGGAAATGGCTGCGATCCAAGCTCTCCTCGTCTCCAGGCTTTCGACTGCGACTCAACTGCCCACCGAGAAAATGCGCCGGAGCAGCTTGAATCATCGGTTCCATGTCTGTCGGCTCCTTCAAGAGCTCTGGTGAGAACTTGAGTGGGAGGCTCGCCAAGGCAATGTTGGACAGAAGTCTGGGTGGTTTTCTGAAATTTCGGAATTCACAGGAGCTGCCCATCGAAACGTTGAAAGCTATTTCCGCACTATGCTCCTAGGCTCGATGCTTATTAGAGCTCGATAAACGATCAAGTTTCAGCGCATCGCCATCCACAGCTCGGTGTGAGCTCGTGCTCGGTAAGCTCCTCATTTACAACACTCCCGCTAAATCCGAGAGAATTCTCGCTTTTTTCAGCGCTGTACATCCAGATTATCGTAGCCCTTATGATGAGTTTTGCATTTCGTTAATGACTTCGCCCTGATCGCATTTAATGAGTTTCTTCCTTCGAGTAGACGAGCGCATTATCTTGATAATCTTGTCGCGATCCAGTTGTCTGGGTATATCCTCCTCGCTGTAGTTGCTCACGCGACTCGAAGATCTGGAGACGCGGCTCTGAGGCTTCCTCGACGAATCTTCAGAGGTCAAGCTCGAAGCGTTGAGCTCGTCGCTCTGAGCTGTGAGCGAGTTTTGCTCCTTTTCAGCCGAGTACGCAGCAGACACCTCGGACGAAGTCGACACCAGACTCCTGCATTCAGTTTCGGTGCCAGGTTTTTCGACACCTCGAAACGCGACATCGACCGCAGATTCAGCGTGACCGTCTTCCGAGTTCTTGTTGTCTTCATTGAAACCACTTTCCGATCCTGACTCATTCTTGTTTTCCAGCGTCGGCGACTTCTGCGAAGAAATCAGCTCCTCGGCCTCGACGCCGACGTCTTGGCCGCACGACGAGGAATCGTCCGCCGTCGGATCCTTGATCGCATCCTGGTGTTTGAAAGGATTGTTCTTCATTTCTGCGATGGCTTGCTTGTAGCTTTGGAGTAGCTCTGCACAAATATTGTCGCACTGCACTTCTTGGTCTTTCGCGCCACAACCTCTGCATGGGAATATCCTTTCAATTCGCTCGCAATCACAATACCGGATAACGTTTTCCACGCATTCTTTGGGCTCGGCGCATTTTCCTGGATGGCAGATTTGGGGACATTGGTGCCCACACTCAAGAAGTTTAGCGCATCGCACCCTGCAGCACTTGATGAGCTCTTTCTGAGACTCATCCATGTCGCACCATTCCTGACACGGCTTCACAATTCCAGTGGCTTCACAGTAACACTCCAATTCCACGAACTGCGTGCATGGATCACAGGGCTTCGAGTGCACGTATCGAGGACAAGGGTGAATGCAGTCCTTGGGCCGACCCTTTGATGGGCACCGAAGAAAATAAAGCACATATTTCGAAAGATAAGCTTGGTAACCAAGACTCTGACCCATATCTGCCGGAGGTCGACTCATTTCTAGCTAATCCAGTACCGTCGGAATCGCTTCTACACTGAGAATAGACTCGTGTAAATGCTGGTGCTTGCGAGCGTTGCGCTGGCAACTCTGCGTTGGAAGTGGAAAGGAGGTGTCGATCGTCGTCGACTTCGGCAAGCGCTTCCGTAAGCGAATGCGTCGGCATACGCCATGCCTCGGTCGTGACAACGCGTACTTGAGCGTATCGCCAGAGAGTGATGAAATGCACCTGCAGTCGGAGGTGCTGAATTTCGAATCGTTCCATGAAATGAAGGCATACATGCCGGGCTAATTGAGAAGGCGTTATCGCCGCCGCCTAAGTGACCGGTCTTGGTCGGAAGCGCGCGATGGGGAACACAATGGAGCCTTTGAAGAAACGAAACATGCGACAAGTTCAAGCATCTGCCTAATGAACGGAATGGAGACATCTATTCCCGACCCGAGACGAGGGTGCTCCTGTGGAACGTGATTTCCGTACTGTCGGGATTCAGTTTTGAGAAGCTGATATTCCGTGGGTGCTGAGCGGCTCATTCAAGGCTGGTGTCGATTGGACATTTCTGGTGGGTTCGGCAAATCCGCTTATTCAGGTCGATCGTAGGGCCACTATTCAAGTGGCTGCGGCGGAATGAACCGCTGCACGAGCGGACCGGAGCGCGATCTACATACGGCACGATGAACGGACGCCTGACAAGGTCCTCGCATGAAATTTATCGTTAATACGGTGCTGCACTGTTCAGTGTGCTTCTAATTTGATTCATCCGGAATGGATGGTTCTGCCTGGCTCCGCGCCCTCCGATCGCAGGGCAGCCTTTCGGAGGAGGATGAGCCGGTGAGGAGCCCTAATGGAAATTTTCGTTTAGGGGTGGAAACCTGCTTCTATTAGTCTTACTGCCTCAGCTGTGGATAGTACGATGTGTGTGTGTGAGTCCACGAATGTGTTCCGTGAGTGTCTGGCTGCTACGACGGCAGAGAATGCAGCCGGTTGGAAATAAATTTCAACTTAAATAGCCTCCGAGGCCTCGTTGTCTGGATTACCCCGGCGCTCCGTAACAACTCAAGATAGCAGTGGGAGTCAATTACTGTTACACATACTAACACTGAACGGTCGTATCTTCGGAGCTCTATGCCGATGTTGATGATGATAGGATTGGCGATGATCACGAACAGGGAATGATCATGGCCCTCTCGACATACGCGCGAGAAAGAACCCTCCGCGTTGCGAAGACCATCGGAGGAGCTCCATGCAGTTCGGGAGGATCTGCTCGATATGACCATATTGTATCTCGAAACGGCGACGGCGTGATGTTCTCTTTCCGCAAGCGAGTCGTTTTGTTATCCTTCGCAGTTGAGTGAGCCCTTCGCAAAGAACCGGCTAGAAGCATCTATTTTGTGTGATATATGTACATATAACACTTCCCATGAATACGAAATATAAATACATGATAGGCACCCATCGTATACCTTTCAGCATCAAATACATACATGGGTATTCATGTACATATATGCATCATGTGTATTTTCATGATCCAATGCGGTTCTTCACGAGACGCTAGATATTATGTAATTATACTGAGCTTCTCCGTCCCATTTGAAAATCGCTCTCTCTGTCGCATCGTATCCCTTCGTGTAACGAGCGTCTCGTGTCTTTCGACCCCCGGCCGATAGCGAGACAGAGAACGTACTGTCTCTGGGTTGGGCGCGTCGCGGGGAAAAATCTGGCGGATCGTCAGGTCTTCATTGAGTCCCTCCTCGATGGGAGAAACACTCACTCAATCGATCATCTGCAGGAACCACTGCGACGAGCCATGGGTTCATTCCATTCTTGGTTGATTAAATGACAAAGCAAGATAAGCGAGTCATTAACAGCTTCATGCGATAAGAGCTCTATCGGAGTTCTTCATCAGCAACAAGCGCGGAACCGCACGGATTCCATTATCGTTTGTTGGGAGCTCGGCGCTCGCGGCGAAAGGAAAAGGATTTCCGGCTCCCCTCTGTTCCTCCTCGCACGGCCCTTCCCGATCGGCGATTCTCGCGTCTTATTCCCGAAGTTACTCGGTGCTAACTCATCGAGTTTGTAAACTCGGAACGGACTCCTCTCGCCATACGTCTCACAGTCACGCTGACGTGCGATTCCGCAAAAATCGGGATCCTCGACGGAAAGAAAAGTCTGCTAACTCCTCGAGGAGCTTATTATTCTTTCTGTTGTCTCGTGTCGGTGTTTGTGTTCGAGTTAAAGGAAAAACTTGTCCTCCACTCCGGAGGAGGTCACACAAGGGTAATAAATCCTTTCTCGTTTCCTCAATCGAGAGCTCGAGACGCCTCCGAATGAAAGGAGGAGTACGAGCAGCTCTCTCCCAAAGATCTAATGTGTTCCTGGAGTCCCAGATTCTTTCTTCACACGAAATGATCGGGCCCACGACGAGACGATGCCTCGCGGACAGGATCGTTCGACGGAATCGTTCTTCTGAGAGCCTCCCCGACTCGATCGAGTCCGATTTCTCGAGCTTTTCGAGCCAATTTTTCCAGCGAGTTACGATCCTCATGGATGCCCGCCTCATTCCGCTTCTCGCTAACCAGTAACGCTCTCTCCCGATCCTGGCGGAATTGAGTGCTGCCGGTCTTCTCTACGGACTCAGTTTTTCTTTCCCTCCTTGCAATTCGTCCTGTCCCCGACTCATTCCCGCTCATTCCTACTGAGTTCGCTCGCGCTCGTAAACTTTGCCAGAATGATTACTTTGCTCAAACTCCGTATAAAACTTGAAGCTCGGAAACGACTTCATACAGTTTCACGACTGAACTCCGGCCTTGCCACTGATACTTTCTGCGAGTTCACGTTTCCGTTTATTAGGCGCTACTTTACCGTATGGGGTCTGCCTTCCCTCATGGAATTGCGCACGTCCTGAGATCCGCCTCCGACTCACCACAGTCCTCCATCCACGTGATGAAGCCGCGACTCGAATTCTTTGTCGCTCAGCGGAATCTCGAACAGCGAGTGATTCCGTCTGGAGAATTCCCGCGAAGTTCAGTTTGGATCTCTCTCACGTTCTGTGGGGAGCACTCTCGCTGAGGTTCTGGGTCTCGAAGCAGCGGAACACAACCCGAGTCGCCAGCATTCTCTGAAAATTCCATCCTCAATGAGAGAAGAGAATTAAGCGATTTTCGGTCCGACGTCCGAGTATGGATCCGCCGATCAGAGTTCTAGGCCTCGAACGTTCTCGAAAAGATTATTGCCAGAGACTGCAGTGCCGAGAGTTCCGTCTCACCCAAGATTTGATCCCCGAGTTGCCCTCCAGACGGTTCGATTTCTTTCTTCAATTCCGTGGTTTACCGCTGCCAACTTGAAAGGAGGAAGATCCACAAAACCTTGAATACGGCAAGAAGATCGATCACATATCCCGATTGTGCGAAGCCTTCGAGCTCGGCACGCAAGTTAGTACCTGCATACAAGCGCGTCCAGACGCTGCTGATATTACGAGTACGTCTGGCTCCCAGACCACCTAACCACCACCGCCACCACCATTGAAAGCATTGTAGTGTCCTGAGCTCCCGGTGGAATTCCAAGCACGCGCAATTTCAAGCAGACCTTATTCCCCTCTTCGCTAAGAGTTATCCCGAAGCGGACTCTGAGAAGCGAGGGGGGTTTTGTTCGCGTCGACCGCCGCCGCATGGACAAACGCTGCCGCCGTCAGAAACAACAACGCTCTCTCGAGTGCGGAGCTTCACCGAATCCATTGAAGGGCTTGCCGCTGAGCTTGCCGAGGAAATCGGTCGGTGTCAAGCAAACCGTCGAGCTACGAACGTACGGTTTCGGCGGACGGAGCAAACGCGTCGTCGAGAGAGGACCGGCAACGGATTTCAATCCGACTCTCTTCCAGCGGCGCCGGCGAACCGGAAAGCTAATAAAGCTTACGTCCATCACAGGCTGTCACCTTTCCGGCGTCGCACGCTAGAGATTCGGCGCTAATTAGGCTCTTCGGTTGTCCAAGCTGAAGGCTCACACGCTCGCTGGCTGACTGACTGACTGCTCAACGCCCCAAGTGGCCGCCGGCGGCGTCAGCTCCGCAAAGAAAATTGCGCTTGCCGTTTCTTGTCATTCGGCGTCGCGAATTCGCCAATAAAGCGGAACGCTCTCCCGACTCGCGGGACCTTTCGTCGCAGAATACGGAATCAGTGAGCGCGTTGGGAGAGACTCCGCCGACCGCAACTCCGCTATTGCAAAACAGAACTGAGCTCTAATGAAAAAGGCAAAGGCTTAGTCGAACGTTTCCGGCGACCGTCCCGAGCACACATTCGCTGAAGGAGCGACCGGCCGAGTGACCGACCGACCGACCGGCGAGCGGATAAGCGTACACGGTCAGAATACGGTTCACGTCCACATTCGGCCGGATTAACATATGCCTTCCGAGCTTCATATCTATTAGTAGGAAGAGCAGTCGTCGCATGGGGCTGGCAGACGGTCCTCTCGTGTTTGCACTCAGACACCCAAATGGTTCTGTGCAAAACAGAACATAACTTCAACGTTATAAGCTTGCTCTGGATGGCCTGGACTCTGCTGGAACGACCGCCACCAACGACGGGACACTTCAGCTTCCGTGTTCAGGCGAATGCATCGGACCGCAAGCCGACCCTTGTGAAGAGGGACTTCAACTTTCTCGTCGCGCGCATGGCAGGCAGAGCTAATTCCTCCCGGATTTCGGAGTTGTCTTGGACTCAAGCTGTTTTATGACGACGCGGCGGGCTCACTACCGAAAGCCAGAATCGCGAAAGCCAGAATCGCAAAAGCCAGAATCGCCAAAGCCAGAATCGCAAAAGCCAGAAATCGCAGAAGCCAGAATCGCAAAAGCCAGAATCGCCAAAGCCAGAATTCCCGTGAGCCGGAGATCGCCGTTCCCCGATCGCTGCCTGACCACAGAGAAATGAAGCTGCATCTCAGGTCTGGATCCTCGCGAGAAAAAGAAAAATTTCCCTTTTTTTAAAAAAAAAAATCCATCTCGGCTCTG